AGCACTTTTCACAGGAACACTCTTTTTGTTTTGGGTCTGTGTTTCAAACTTTGTTGTTGTACCAGTTGTTGTGGTACCCAGAATCATTTATACAGTAGAGCTGCAGGAATGAGGTGGATACTTTCAGTGTTTAAATTAGCCAACAACAGCCTACTCCTGTTGGCAGGAAGTAATTCGCCGGTGCTCCGTGCTCTGTCAGCTCGCTAGTATATCTGGGTCGGTAAAAGCAAAAGACACAGAAGAAACTGGAGCTGTGCACGAGTGGAGTTAAAAAAAAAAAAAGATCTTTGAGCAACATAGGCATGAGTAAGTTTGACTGAAAACAAGATCTCATTTCCGACTACCGGATCTGAAGGGGATCTGGTGCGCTGGAGGCGCTTCACAATACTCCGGATTGGAGTTTTTACAAAATTGGCACCAAAAAAAAAGTTTTTAATAAAAATCATTTTGTGTGTACTTCCTTTAAAAAAATGTTGTAAAATGAATTTTTATTTTTTTTATTTTGAAAAATCTGAAATGTGTATTTTTTTTTATTATTATCTAAAGACCCTTTAATTATTAGAATTTTTTTTTTTTTAATTGTTTAAATTTGACTCCTTTTTTTCAGGCTGAGATAGCTCTAAAAGATTTACCGGTGGCTAGTTTATCATGGGAAACATGAACGTGTATTTTTAGGCAGTTAAATAAGATGTTCACTTTGTTCCCCTAAGGAACAGGAATAGTGATAAAGTTGCCGTGTTACAAGTGTTAACAGGTTTCAAATGTTGAGGAGCCCTTTGGATCTAAAGCATCTCTGAATCTAAATCTGCAGGTAGTTTCTGGGATCCTCAGTCTTCTCAGACTTTAGTTCTTGGTACGCCCAGTAGTCCGGTCACCAAAATGGTCCCAGTTGGAGGAAAACTGTGGTGTGGTTCGCTGAACAGAGTCCTCATTATCAACACTACAACACTGGTACAAGAGGTACGTGTTGAGCTTTTAGGATCTGGCTTCCCTGGTAGACCCAGAAACAAGTGGAGTGACTGGTTTGACCTCTTGTTTGTCCTTAGCACTGGTTCCAGGTGGGCACCGACAGCAGTCGCTGCGTGACGTCCATGGTGGCGTACTGTCAGGGGGTGTGGCTGGCGCTGCAGGGCAGTGCGCAGGTCAGGATGTACCACGCTCAGACCTGGGAGAGCCTGACAGAGGTGGACGTGGCGCCTGCCGTGCACAAAATGCTTGCAGGTAGGTTGTCTGTTTGAGGCAGGTATTTTTCAGGGTGGGTTGTTTATTTGTCCCTTCTGAGCCTCCATCCAATGCTTTGTTTCAGGTGCAGATGCAATCATCAGACAGCATAAAGCGGCCTGTCTCAGAATCACAGCCTTACTGGCCTGCAAGGATCTGTTGTGGATCGGTACCAGTGCAGGCAAGAGCACACGCTTCAACCATTAAACACCTCCGGTGGTCGTCTTCATTGATGTACAGTTGTCCCTCGATACTTCGCAGTTCGACTTTTGCAGACTCATTGTTTTGTGGGTTTTCAACGTAAGATTGTACACGATACACTATTTGGCTGATTGATGGAAGGTGACCAACCAGAACATTGTGCTCTGTATCCCGGGCGCTGACTGGCTCAGTAACCGTAGCATCAAGTCTGTCTGCTCTCTTTCACTGTGCTCTTTAAGAAAGTTTAGAACATTGTTAATAGTGTGGGAAAGGTTTATAAAGCCTTAAAATATATATAAATACTAAAATACATATAACGTCCATACTTCGCAGATCACTTATCACGGGGGGTCTGGAACATAACCTCCACGATAAATGAGGGATTACTGTATATATCATCTATATACACACCCTTATACCCTGGATTAAAACAGAAAGATAATATTACACTGTTGGTCGTTTACAGGGGTGGTCCTTACTCTGGCGATCCCAGCGGTGAGGTCAGGAACTGGTGCTGAGGCACTCAAATCTCCCCTGGTGCCGATGGGATCGGCTCATGGTCACACGGGTCACGTTCGGTTCCTGACGTCGATTGAGCTACCAGAAGGCTTTGACATGAACTTTCCTCCAACGACAACAGACTCCACAGGTTTTCCTGCTTTACTTGATTTTAGTTTTTTCCAGTTAGGACCGTTTACGTTTACCGAACCATAATCGACACGTTTTTCCCTTCAGTTCTGCTGCTTGACTTTTATCCCCCATCTTTCCGACTTCCAGGTAATCAGTCTCAGAGCAGCAGCACGGTTGAAGGCAGTCTGCAGCGACGGGGCTCCACACACCGCAGAGCCTCCGCGCACATCCCTGTCAAAACCAACCATCTGGTTATTTCCGGCGGCGATGGCTACGAGGACTTCAGACTGACCAACAGCAGTGAAACGGTTGGGCGGGACGACAGTACCAACCACCTCTTGCTTTGGAGGGTTTGAGCCGATCGAACAGCCCGTCCCTCTAGCACATCTTAACTGATCCTCACCTTCTGGTGTCTTCATTTCGGAGTTCTGCTCAGTCCACTGGTCTCTGTGTGCACAGCACTCCCGTCTGAACTTGAAACTGAATATGAACACGCAGGACCCTTTTTTTTTTTTGTGAGTTAGTGTATTTTTTGTTTGTTTTTTTGTAACTATGTGTCTTTAAGCTCAAGTTCTGATTGAAAAACAGAAGAAGACCGAAGGAATAAACTAAACTTTTATAATCGCAAGTGTGTGGACACGTAAGGAACATACAGAGAAGGACTTCTGCAGAGTGTTGTCGCACAGGAGGATGAAAAACAACACTTAGGTACCAATGTTACTAAAGCATGGTGCGTGCCATGACTAATACCTAAAAGACTTCAGTTGTCTCGAAAATCCTCCTGATGAAGTAAACGTGTAAAGTAAATGAACCATTCCAGCATAAATAAGAGTTTAAAACACCTAAATATGTATTTTTTATTTTCATCTGAAACTCAATAGAGTCTTTGGGATGGTCTGTAAGTTTTTATTGGTGTAAACGGATAAATGTTTAGCGTCTTAAACCTAATTAGTCCAGTTTGAACAACCAGATGTTTATAACTTCATTAAGATTGTAATAATATCCATCCTTCTGATGCTTATCATACATGTGCGTCTGCCATTTTTCCAGTAGAGGGAGTGCAAGGTAGAGCAAAATTTTAGTGCAATATGCGACGACACTATGACTATAATGCATAGCCTTACTCACCAAGTCAGAGGATGTATGTTTTGTGCAGATAACATTATATTTTCTTAATTTTGTTAGGTTTTGCCACCAGTTTAAAATGACAGACATGTAGGTGGATCGGTGTCAAACCACTGGTTGGACAAAAACAAGTGCATTGGAGACATTCCTCCTTAAAGTGACCATGCCAAAGCTTCGTGTGAGTTAAAGATCTCTCTCATTGCCATAAAAATTCAGTTTGTTGAGCGTTCTCTCTCTTAAGAATGAGGCTCTTTAAAGATGACGCCAGGCTGTGATAGCAGTTAAAGATAGTTATGTACAGTATTTATGCTTTGGATTTTAGCGCCTTCTTTTTTATAGCACTTAATTTATAGAAGATGTAGCTTTTTTCACTTTGTTTTATGGAAACGAGGCCCTGGCTTGATTATTAGAGTAGATGAAAGGCCATAGTTTAGCTCAGGTGGACACAAACGTACATTGGGGTGTACGGATGCAGTACCCTTGTGTTTGGTACACTTCTCTGTACAGGGTCCTTGTTTTGGAGATCTGTGAGTCCTTAAATATTGACAGACAAGATCAGAAGAGATTTTGAGACTGCAAGATGTTATATCGGCTCCACCGTTTTGCCTCACCTAAAAACTTTTGGACCAGCACTGAACACAAGCCGCTCTGTTGCCTGTCATGGTGCCAAACTGTTCACATGTGTTTCACGTGTCATTTTATGCTACAGAAGTCATAACCGTAATGCACAAACCATGCAATCTCAACACATTAATTGGTTGTTGAAGAACAAAGTTTGTTTATTTGAGAAGCACAAAAGAAGGAGTTTGTCAGATGGACAATGAATAGGAACTGCACGTGCCTTCAGAACGCTAACAGTTAAGCCATTTCACGCAAACACACGCACACTTAGAATAAAAGCTCAGCTCTCCCTGATTCCACAACAGATGTCTGTGAAGGTGAAAGATGGCTGTCTTGTCCTAGCACACACTCACACACACGTGTTAGCCTTTGCTTTGGGGGTTAAGCAGTGATTGTCTTTGATCCTCCGAAGCCTAGAAAACTTCATTGCACTTTATCAACCATCTGGACTCTTCACTTCAGCTTTCCCTCTTCCACAAGTATTAACACAAAGCTCCTTCTCCCTCTGAAACAAGATAAGACGCTCAGATGTCTGCCATGTTAGCTGCTAGCTAGCAAGCTAACATCTGTGACTATATAGCTAAGTGGAAATGTCCCAGTCTCTTCATTGAGCATGAACTCATTCTCTACTTTTAAGTGTTTTGTTATTAAAATTAAAAATTAAAAAAGTCATTCCCACACATAGAAATGTCTGCGTCTCTACTTTAAGTGTTTTGTCATTAAAAATAGAAAGAAAGAAAAATTCCTGCCCACAAAAATAGCAAAGTTTTAGCTAGCAAGTAGAGCAGAGGGAAGACAATAATATATTTGATATTTTTATATTCACCTCCTAAGACCTGAACTCTTGCATATGTGGACGCCAGGTCCTAGGAGGTTAAAGAAGTTTTTGATGCAGTCAGAAAATATTTATACAAATTTTATATCCGTTATCCATCCATACCATCCATCCATTATCTTCTGCTTGTTCCGAAGTCTGGACACGGATGCAGCAGCTTGAGCAAGGAGGCCCAGACATCTCTGTCCACAGCCACCTCTTCCAGCTCTTCTGGGAGGACCCCAAGACGTTCCCAGGCCAACTGAGAAACGTAGTCTCTCCAGCATGTCCTGGGTCTTCCCTGGGGTCTCCTCCCATTCGGACACGTCCGAAGCACCTCCCTAGGGAGGCGCCCAGTGAGCATCCATACCAGATACCTGAACCCCCTCAACAGGCTCTTCTCGACGTGGAGGAGAAGCGGTTCTACTCTGAGTCTCTCCCAGATAACTGAACTTCTCACCGTATATGTAAGGGAGAGTCCAGTTACCCTGCAGAGGAAACTCATTTCAACCTCCTGTATCTGTGATCTCATTCTTTCAGTCACTGCCCAGAGCTCATGACCATAGGTGAGGGTAGGAACGTAGACTGACCGGTAAACAGAGAGCTTTGCCTTACAGCTCAGCTACCTCTTCACCTCAACAGACCAGCACAGAGTCCACAATACTGCAGATGCTAAACCGATCAGTCTGTCAATCTCACGCTCCATTCTTCCCTCACTCATGAACAAAACCCTGAGATACTTGAACTCCTCCACTTGAGGCAGAACCTCGACCTGAAGAGAGAAATTACCTATTTCCGATTGAGGACCATAGCCAGAGATTTGGAGGTGCTGATTCTCATCCCAGACGTTTCACACTCGATTGCGAACTGCTCCAGTGAGAGCTGAAGATCACGGCATGATGACACCAACAGGACCACATCATCTGCAAAGAGCAGAGATGGAATCCTGAGGCCATTGAACCAGAAACTCTCTGCCCCCTGACCGCACCGAGAAATTCTGTCCATAAAGGTTATGAACAGAATCGGTGACAACGGGCAGCCCTGGTGGAGTCCAACTCCAACCCTGAAGGGGTCCGACTTACTATCCACAATGTGAACCAAACTCTTGCACCACTTGTGTAGGGACTGAACAGTCTGTAACAACGGGCATCCAATCCCATACTCATGGAGCACCCCCCACAGTGTAACAGTTTGTTATGGAATATGAAAATGATATCAGAAGCTTCGTTCACATCAAACTTTAAAAAAACATCTAGCTAGCCTAATGTGCTAGCTAGCAAACGCTAAGCTAAGCCAACCACAGTAAGCTAGCTAGTTCTCCAAATTAGATAGTAACTGAAAGCTAGGTGATATAAAAGCTTTTCTCACTTCTAGCAGAAAATTATCTACACCCTGAACATTTTTTTTTTTTTCATTTTTGGTCCTGTGATACTAAAGTAGAGCTAAATGTATTTTCATTTTTTGTTTTGTTGACTCAAAATCTGGTGTTCTCTGAGTCGAGTTGCATCAAATTTGCAGTAGGCTATATTTTTGCTAGCTGTAGGCCATCGTAGAGTTCATTCACGTACAGTCTCCATGGGCAAAACAGGCAGCAGGACAGATAAAGTGTTTGTTTTGTGTGTTGTTGTTGTTGTTTGCTTGTTTTGTTTTTGATAGTACGCTGTCCTCTTCTGCTGATTTGATTGACTTGTTGTGGCTGGGGTAAATAATTTTAGATTAATGGATTTACTTTTTTTTTTTTTCCATCAGTCACACATAAAAGTACATTCCCCACAGAAGCGTCACTTCTGAAATGACACTGAACTAACCCTACAAGGAGTTCCTTATACGTTGAATAGGTTTAATAAAATGAAGCCTCATTCCAGTTTGACTGTAACTGCATGTGAACAAAACCTTATTGTTGTAAATATTGGTACATACTGCTTATTCTGTACATAGTGCACCCACAGTCCTCAATTGTTGATATATGGCATATTTTTATATAATTGTGTAAGGTTTGTTTGTGTTTGTATTTTACCGCCTTTGCATGCGCTGTCGGTCATAAACACATTTTAACTGTTAAGAAAAACAGTCTCATCCTTGTCAATGCAGGGTGAATGACAGAGTCTGAGTATACATGCTGTCCCTGCTCGGTTGCTACAACGTTCACAAGAGAGGGGGGAAAGACATAAAAAATGGATATTTGCGCTGCCACCTCTGTTTACCTCTGGGTCTGGTTGACATCTTGCAGTTATCATGATTACAGTCTGTCAGAGTTACCTCCTGTGTAACTGTTCTTGTTTCGTCACTGAGGGTTCCTCTTTGTCATTAAATCAGTTTACTGGTTCCACTTTGTGAATGCTGTCTTGTCTTCCTCATTTGTTTCTTATTGGTACTTAAAAGTACTCACTGCAATGTCAAAAAGATTTGTGGAAAAGTATTGAGTTCGAAACAAAGTCTGTGCATATTTTTTCATCAATAGTTTTAATATACCTCTATATTAAAAAAAAAATACTGCAGCGCTTGCTAGCAGACTGCCTCTATGTGCATTAAATTTTGTTACCTATGGAAAGGACCGAAGTGACTGAAAACAGGTCTGCAATGCATTGAAAAGATAAACTCAGCAGTCCAGCAGAAATTTAGCAAACTGTATGTTCGAAACCAGAGATCTGTCTTTATGGCGCTCCACCGTCCTGCTTGAGTCCGGATGTTTCTCCCAGACAGTTATCTTACTCTTTCTTTTTCTATTATTTTGCGTTTAGCAGAATAACTTGTGTATTTGCACCTAAACATCTTCTCCAAGATGGTACGCTTGTT